ACAACTTAGTTACTCTCTCTCTCTCTCTCTCTCTCTCTCTCGGTGTTTATACCTTTATACAGGTAATGCTTTCTAATCCAGAACTGGAAAATGCAGTGAATGTGGAAGCAGCAGAAATGCTGAAAAACAACATATCCTTGTACAGACAAATGGTTATACAATGTGTTAGAACTAGCCAACACCTAGAAGGTAATACTGTACTTCCTTTGTTATTACCCATAAATATAATCTTTTTCTTTTAAAACTCCTTTTTTAAAAAACAGTTTATTGTATGCTCAACAGTAAATTTATATTAGTATGATTGGTAATTTAATGTCAGCAAACACCAGTTAGTGTTTTGAAAGGGAATACGCTGGGCCAAATTCAGAGCGAATGTACGTGGTCCTATAAATTACACATTGGTGAGTGAGGGCCAGTGTAATTTACATAGTGATATTAGGGAAAGTCAGATTTGTTGCAGGAAAAGTAAGTAAGAGGAAGGGCGTTAGATGAATCAGGGACCCAGAGAGCAGAAATACTGCTGTCCTTATCCTGATTTGCCTGCCCAATATGAATTGTACTCGCCTTGTAAATCTTCATGAGAATGACATTTAGTGTGCTATGGTTATGCTATACAATGACTAGACTGCAAAAGCAGCTACAACTAGGGTAAAAATTGGGGCAGAATTTGGGTCAGTTTATTTAATGTTGTTGGTGCAAGCAGGGCATGTGGCAGATATGAAAGGTGAGTACTGTGGCTGTACTTGCTCTCAATGAGCTAAATTCCAGTCCACTCTGACCACTTTATGCCACTTAGGTGCCACAAAGTGGCTGTATTCTGGCAATAATGGGTTGGTGCCTAGAAGAGAATTTGCCTGTTGCAGAGGACATTTCTACTGGTACAAAGCCATCAGAATCTGCTGCTGTGGCAGCTGCCTACCCAAACCTCTGGAGTACTGTGTGGGACAGCTGCATTCCTTTTGGCAGGGACAGGAGGAGGAGTGCACATGCAGAGGGGAATCAAACCCAATACCTCTACCATAGTGCGGATGTGGTGGGTTGTTAATTGTATGAGTACTAGGGGGAAATATAGGACCAGATCTTTATCTGATGTAAATCAACATAGCTCCATTGAAGTCAATGGAACTGAACCAATTTACAGGATCTGACTCATAAAGTTTTTTTTTAAATGTCCATCTTCTCCTTTGCAGACCTTTCTAGCACTGGGGAAGATTGTGCTGCTTCTCTGAAGTATTACTTGCCATCTGAAACATCTTCTCTGGGCCATGTCAGGTAACAAGTTATGATGAACTAAGAAATCTTGGCCCCACTAAAGCCAATGAGAGTTTTGCCTGTGACTTTAGTAGGGCCAGGATTTCACCCCTATTGTGCTAGACTCACTCTAAATGCTAGTTCCTGGAGATAGGGTGGGGTAGGTAGCTTCAAACCCTAACACTAAGGGAATTCACAGGTGACCAGAGACAATCAGATTCTGGAGTGGTGCAAAGGGATCTGAATTAGGAAGAGAATCTGGCCCCGTATGTTAGCTTGAAATTTAACCTCAGAATTATTTCAGTGGTAATATCATGCACAACTCTAGCACTATAGAAATAAATACAAAATAAAAACAATCTAGTGTATTCTAGAAAGAATTCATTGGTTTCCCTATACTATTAAAATAATAAAATAAATAAATTATAGATAAATATGTATAATCTCCGGGAATAAATGTCATTGACTAGGTCAAACCAAAATATCACTTGACCTAACAATGACACAATTTCTGGCTATACGCCTGTAGGTGAAGAACTCATTTCAGTTGGACATAAGACTTACTGGCAATAACTGTGAAGGCAACTGCTTGCCAGATGTTTCCATAAGGAAGTTAAATAAGTGGGAATATCCACTAACAGGAAAAAGAGAATAATTGCCCCTTTTGGGATATAGCTCTTAATACAACCTGAGCCTAATGTTGCTCCTTCTGAAGTTATCAGTGGAAGTTTTGCTGTTAACTCCAATGGAAGTGGGATCATTAAGTTTTGCATGAGCTTCTGAGGATACTGAATCAGAACCATTACAAAAAGAATGAACAGTATTAGTTTGTCACCAACATATTATGGATCAATCCCACCTTCTTTGGGCACCCAAAGCTTCCATTGACTGAAGTGAAAGTTCTGGGTCTGGAATGGAAGGTATTAAGGGTCAAGGTCCATAATGGAATCATTTCCTTTTCAGGATATAGCTTTAAATATTGGTAAAAGCAAAACACCTCTGAAGAGCTGCTTTTGACATTTTACAGGACCTCGAAGGCTAGAGTGTGGTGGGAGGGCATCGGATAGATAAAAATAATGGTGGTCATTGAGCTCAAGGGTCCATGTTTTCTCTGGGGCTGGTTTCCTTCCTCTCATCTTCACTATTGCCTCCTGAATGTCTGACAGCAATGGGATTGCAGCGGTTTTCCTGGTTCACACGTACAATTATCTCTTGTTATTTATAACATTATATAGAATTACATAGACTGATTTGTTTTATTTGACTTTTTTGAGTGTAACTTTAGTGCCCTCGTGTCCAGATGGAGTCTGCTCTGTAGGCAGCTCTGGCCAAGAGAAGGCATGCGCAGGAATGCAGCAGGAGAAATCCCTTCCACCCCAGGGGCACCTGTTCCAAACCCCCCAGAGTGAACACACAC